AGGCCCGAAACGTCAGCCTCTCTGCTCCTATGATGCTGCTTGGCCTGCTGTGTTCATCCAGCCCTGCACCTTGTTGTCTCGGATTCTCCAGCATCTGCAGTTCCTACTATCTCTCACTCTTCCAATCATGATTCTTTGACATTTTCTATTTTTTTTTTAAAGACAGTGAAGTCTGAATTTCTACATCAAACTGCTTTTTTTTTTGGCTAAGTTAAAATCTATATTGCTCGATGCGCCAATGAGGAGCAGGCAGTATTTGGACAACAGTGCATGATGCTAATTTCCCTTCAAGGCACCCACTATCCTGACTCGGAAATATATCACCCTTCCCTCAGTGTCATTAGGTGAACACCCTGGAAATCCCTTCCTAATGCCAACGTGGGTCTACCTCTGCCAAATGGACTGCAGCGGTTCAAGAAGGCAGCTCACCACCGGCCTCAGTGTTTTGAGTGTTAAATAGCTGTTTAATGTGCAAATCCAGAAAGCTCCTACAATGGCTCAGGGAAAGATACAACTTGTGAAGGTGAATAGCAGAGGAATGGAAATTGACAGGCAGATTCAGGAGATTAGCAATTTAGAGCATCTCTGTTAAAGGCCTGTAATTGCTGCACTGCACTGTTAACATGCCATTATTAATCCAGCAAAACTTGGCTCATTACTTACCAGAGTCTTCCATGATGAGCATTTGGATTGATTTCTCCAGAGGTGGGAACAGCTATCTTAAAGATGGATAAAGGGAGGTAACATCAGCTTTCGTGAATGGACCTTGCGTGTTGAGTGTGTATTTTTGGCATTTTAGGTGAATAAAAACATGACCATTTCTGGGTGTAAGTTTATTTTTGATGCAGCAGCTCATAATCTGGAATGCGCTGACAGTAAGGGTACAATCTTTCAAAGTGAATTTGACAGTTCAAGGTGAAAATCTATTAAGGAGCAGAGGAGAGGAGAAGATGATGGTGCTTGCTGGATAATGCCTTCAAACAGCCAGCACAAGACTTGATGGGCACAGAACCTTCTCCTGTGCTGTAACACTCTGTCATGAGATTTTTTATTTGGATGTTTGCTGGGTCACAGTGAGAGCTAAGAAAAAGTAACCAACTGTTGTGTAACCAGATTTGCAGTTTCAGTGTAAACTCTTTGAAAAGGTGAACATTTATAAAGTTTCAAGTTTCAAGGATGTCCCAAAGCACTTTACAGTTAATGAAGTACTTGTGAACTGTTGTAATACAGATAACAGCAGCTAATTTACAGGCAGCAAGGTCTCATTAATACTGACAAAGACAACAGACTGAAGTTCATTAACCCAGTTGGTTTGTAGCATCCTCTTGTATGAGTCAAGAGGTTGTGGGCTCAAGTCCCACTCCAGGATTTGGGCTGACAGTCTGGTGTAGTACCTGATACAGGAGAAGCCTTTCAGAAGAGATGCCCAGCCTGCCTTATGTCAGGTAGGCACAGAAGAAAACCCCACCACACTATGTTGAAGGAATGCAGGGGAGCGATCACCAGTCTCCAGGTCAAGCTAACCCTCAGTAAACATCACAAAAACAGATGCTTTGATCGTTATCAGAGAGAGGTGGAGGTATAGCCACGATGTCGCTGGATAGTAATTCAAAACCGCAGGTAAATACTTTGAGGAAACTGGTTCGAATCCTGATGGTGAAATTCCATCTGAAGTACCAAATTTGTAATAAAACAAAAACTAGCCTCATGATAACCATGTAGTCACTATCCATAATTATAAACGAAACCCACACTCAATCTGGTTCACTGATGCCCTTTAGGGAAGGAAATCTGCTGTCCTTACCTGGTCTGGCCTACATGGGGGTCAACTCTTAACAACTGTTGGGGCAATAAATACTGGCCTAACCCACATACTATTAACAAATTAAAGACTAAACTATTACATTATAACTGTTGCAAACATCTCACATTGCAACAATGCTTTCACTTCAGAAGGATTCATTGGCTGTAAGGTGCTTTAGAACTTCCTATGGTACTTTACCAAGGCAAGATTTAAAGACGAAGCTTGGTTATTAATTACTGGGGGAATTTTCTTTCTGTGCATCTTGGCTGCGATCTGTCTCTCATTTAAATGCGAATTGTTTTTGAAGACCACGAAAGGACTGACGCTTAAAAATGATTTTCAAAAACAAAAAATTTAAACAGGTTTAAAAGTACCAACATATCGCTCGGTGACATTCCATCGACCCAGGCTGCTCCCTCTGCATTGGTTTGGCCACCGGGGACTCCGCCGGTAGCTTTGCCTCAGGACCGTTCCCAATAAATTGCAGCGCAAAGCTGGCGGAAAGGACATGGGGGGGTGGGAGAGGGAGGAATTTTGGTTCGCTTCCCCCCCATGATGTGTCCTACTGACTTTAAAAGGATACGACCCCGGAGGTGAGATGTTGCTGAAGAATTTTCAGTCGAGCTGCCGCTGACATTGCACCAGGAAATGTCCGAAGAGAAATACCAAAGTCCCAGAGCGCAGCGGGGTTGAACTCTAAACCCAGAGATAGAGACGCCGTCAGAAATTGCGTATTTATCGGCGCTCTGATAGACATGCAATTACAGACACGCCTCCTTAACATTATTTGCAAACTCTGCTTTATTCGCACGCTGGTCTTTATTGCAAAATCCAACTAACCGTCCCCAGAGCTTCTTGGAAAATTCTGCAAACAATGTCTCAGCTGAAAATCGTGCATGTATTTGACTCATTTGCAAAATATTGTACCTGGTGGGGACTCTGAGTCAGAAAGTTATGGGTTCCAGTCCCGCTCCAGACACAAGAGCACTGATTCTAGGCTGACACTCCCATGCAGTGCTGCACAGTTGAAGGTACTATCTTTCAGATGGAATGTTACATTGGAGGCTCTGTCTGCTCCCTCAAGTGGATGTAAAAGATCCCATAGCATGGGTTCTGCTTTGAAGAAAAGCAGAAAAAATATCATCCTGGCCAAGATCGATCCCTCAGTTTATCTTCTGATCATTGCACTACTGCTAATGGTGTTTTGGTGTGCACATATCAGCTGCCACATTCCCTAAAACAGTAGCTACAGTGCGAAAATACTTCGTTGGCTGCAATGCACATTGGGAGATGCTAAATAAATACAAGTCTATTTCTTTTGGTGGTACAGAAGTTAATGCAAATGTCCACACAGTTGAACTGCATAGTCACTATTCTCCATACAAAACAAAACATATTCAATTTATAGAGTAAACCAATACCTTCCATATCAATTGAGCCATTTTGCAGAGTAATTTGCACCACAAAGGCCATTCTGCTAATTGCCCATGGAACAATCCAGTCAGTCCCACTCCCCAACTCAATTACTATAGCCCTGCAAGTTTATTTCCTGCAAATGCACATCTAATTTCCTTTTAAAATAATTGTTTCCACACCCACCATTCTCATGGACTGCAGATTCTTCATTCTGGATCTCTTGATCTTAAATCTGTATCCCCTGATCCTCAGTAGAAACAGCTGAATAACAGATACAGGCATCACCAGCAATACCTCCTAGTCCCAACAAAAACAGAAATTTCTGGAGGAACTCAGCGGGTCTGGCAGCATCTGTGGGAAGAAAGCAGAGTTAATGTTTCAAGTTCAGTGACTCTTTATCATCAGCTTTGTCCAGAAATTTGCTTTTGTCTCAGATCTCCAGCATCCATAGTACTTTGTTTTATCATAATACCTTCCAGTCTCCTGGCAATGCTAATTTTGTCTGTTGAATGGCTCCACCATTTGGCAAGCTAGTGTGTCACACCTAAAAGATCATTGCCTTTTATGCAAACTTACTGGAGCCTGATCAGGTTTGGGAATTGGGATGTGGGGTTTGTGGAGCGGGGAGGGGGAAGAGTTTAGGAAGAAGGACACACCTTCAATTTTAGGAATAACTTTTTTACTTACCAGTAAACAATGTTAAATGCTGTCAATTTTTAAAGAAATCCCTCTTTGTTGTTCATGTTGACTATGCCTTTGCCCACTCTGATCTTTAGTTGTTTCTTGAAAAGCTCAGCAGGTCTGGCAGCATTTCTGAATAGAGCTCAGAGTTAATATTTCAGGTCTGGTGACCCTTCCTCAGAACTGGAAGGGTCACCAGACCCGAAATGTTAACTCTGATTTCTCTTCACAGATGCTGCCAGACCTGCTGAGCTTTTCCAGCAATTTATGTTTCTGATTTACAGAAACTGCAGTTCTTTTGGTTTTTATTCGGTGGTTTCTTGTTCAGCTTTTCTAAGTTTCTCACCAAGTGTTCCTCTCTTCTAATCTATTAATCGCTTGCACACATCTTATGCTCTTTCAGCTTGACTCCCCCTCTTTGTGCAATGGTTCTAACCCCTGTTTGTAGTGGTTGGGTGAACTTGGTCCTTTTTGTTACCTCCACAATCTAATTTATGCCAACCTTGTACTTCAAGGTTCTATTAACATGGGTGGCATCCCTTTATAATAGGCTGCAATATTTAACCTTGACCAGGATTTGTGGACCCTAGAAATT